GGTGCTGCATCAGAATTCGCACAACCTCCCTCTGATTTCAGGGCAATCTACACTGTTCCCTGGCAGGCCTTTTGACATCTCAATGTGCTGATCACTGGGGCTCGCCTACAGCTGGGAGGTTAGGGCCCCAGTGAAAACGTTCCTCCAGGTTTACTGAGAGGCTCCCTTCAGGATAAGAGAGAGTTCAGGACCTCATTCTCCCGCTGAGGTCCAATCCTCACCCTCCATCACACCCCATTCTAGCACCTGAGTCCTGCTCATCTAGGAGAAGAATTTGGGATTTTTCCCCATAGTTTGTGGGTGGCGAAACACCAGGGTTAGCAAGTGAGGTGTATGTGGGGCTGGGGGGCTTCTTTCTTTCTTTATCATTTATTCATTCTCTTCCTTCCCTGAGCTTTTACATTTTTTAAAAATTTTTATTATTATTCTTGTTATTCTGTTATGGTTGCCTCAATTTTTTTCTCCTTTGCCCTCCTCCGTCTAGCCCTTCCCCCACTCCCACACTCAATTCCTACACTGTTCTCTGTGTCCATGGGTTACTCACACGTTTTTTGACTGATCACTTTCCTTCTTTCCAGCTTTATCCCCCTCCCCCCAGTAGCTGTCTGTCTGTTCCATGTCTCTGTGTCTCTGATTGTATCTTGCTAGTTAGTTTATTTTGCTCATTAGATTCCTCTTATGAGTGAGATCATATGGTATTTGTCTTTCACAAACTGGCTTTTTTCACTTAGCGCATAATGATCTCCAGTTTCAAACATGTGGTAGCAAAAGGTAGGAATTCCTTCTCACTTTCTGCTTTGTAGTATCCCATTTGTAAGTGTCCCACAGTTTTTTGATCCACTCATGTATTGTTGGCCGCTTAGGCTGTTTTCAGCACTTGACTATTCACGCTGCTATGAATATTGGGGTGCATAGGTTCTTTTGAATTGGTGTTTTGGGATCCTTAGGGTATATTCCCAGCAGTGGAATGGCTGGATCCAAAAGCAGTTCCATTTTTAAGTTTTTGAGGAGATTCCATACTGTTTTCCACAGTGGCTGCCCCAGTCTGCATTCCCACCAACAGTGCACACTATTATTCCCTTTTCTCTACATCCTCGCCAGCACTTGCTGTTTATTGATTGATTAATCATGGCCACTCAGAAAAGTGTGAGGTGAAATCTCATTGTGGTTTTAATTTGTATCATGTCTATGGGTCAAGGTATGTCCTCTTTGGAGAAGTGTCTATTCAGGTCCTTTGCCCATTTTTTAATTGAATTGTTTGTCTTTCTGGAGTTGAGTCACATTAGTTCTTTATACATTTTGAAGACTAAACCCTTGTTTGATGTGTCACTGACAAATATATTCTCCCATACAGTCGATTTCCTTTTTGTTTTGATCATGGTTTCTTTAGCCATGCAGAAGCTTTTTAATTGGATGTAGTTCCATTTATTTTTTTCCTTTATTTCCCTTGCCTGAGGTGACATATCAGCAAAAATATTGCTACAGGGATATCTGAAATTTTACTGCCTATGTTGTCCTCTAGGACTTTTATGGTATCACAACTTATATTTGTCTTTTACCCATCATGAGTTTATTCTGATGTATGGTGTAAGTTTGTGGTCTAGTTCAAGTCTTTGCATGTACCAGTCCAGTTCTCCCAACACCATTTATTGAAGAGGATATTTCTACTCTGTGGTATGCTTGTGCCCACTTTGTCAAATATTAATCAGCTTAACAATAACCCACAACCTTCAGACCAACTATACTTTGTCAAATATTAATTGACCACAGAAGCATGGGTTTATTTCTAGGCTCTGTATTCTGTCTCACTGATCTATGTGTCTGTTCTTATGCCAGTACCAGACTGTTTTGATTACAGCGGCCTTGTAGTATAGCTTGATATCAGGTATTGTGATCCCTCCAACTTCATTCTTCCTCCTCAAGATTGCTGAGGCTATTCACACTCTTTTTTGGTTCCATGTACATTTTTGAAATATTTGTTCTAGATCAGTGAAATGTGCCACTGGTATTTTAATAGGAATTACATTGAATCTATAGATTGCTTTGGGTAGTATGGACATTTTAATGATGTCAATTCTTCCAAACTATGAAATGGTATGTTTCCATTTATTTGCAACTTCCTCAATTTCTTTCTTTAGTATTCTATAGCTTTCTGAGTACAGGTCTTTTACCTCCTTGGTAAAATTTATTATAAGATACTTTATTTTTCTTGCTGCTATAGTAAATGGGATTTTTTCCTAGTTGCTCTTTCTTTTTTTTTCTGAACTCCATAGAACTAAACACCATTTTTTCTTTTTTAATAATTATTTTATTGTTGTTTAATTACACTTGTCTGCATTTTCCTCCAACCACTCTCCCCCAACCCCACCCAAACCCACCTCCCCCCCCCCTTGCTTCCATCCTCCCCTTCAGGGTTGTCCATGTGTCCCTCAAAGTAGTTCCTGAAAACCTTTCCCCTCACGACCCCCTCCCACTTCCCCTCTGGTTTCCGTCAAATTGTTCCTAATTTCTATGTCTCTGGTTATATTTTGTTTATTTTTTCTTTTGTTGACTATGTTCCAGTTAAAGGTGAGATCATATGGTATTTGTTCCTCATTGCCTGGCTTATTTCACTTAGCATAATGTTTTTCAGTTCCATCTATGCTGTTGCAAAGGGTAGGAACTCTTTCTTTCTTTCTGCCACATAGAATTCCATTGTGTAAATGTACCATAGTTTTTTGATCCACTCATTTGCTGATGGGCACTTAAATTGCTTCCAGAATTTGGCTATCATAAATTGTGCTTCTGTGAACATTGGGGTGCATTGGTTCTTTTGAATTGATGTTTCAGGGTTCTTAGGATATAATCCCAGCAGTGGAATAGCTGGGTCAAAAGGCAGTTCCATTTTAAGTTTTCTGAGGAAATTCCATACTGTTTTCCACAATGGCTACACCAGTCTACATTCCCACCAATAGTGCAGTAGGGTTCCTTTTTCTACATCCTAGTTACTCTTTCCGATAGCTCACTGTTGGTGTATAAAAATTCCATCGACTTCTAAACATTGACTTTGTATTCTGCTATTTTGCCAAATTCACTTATTAGGGTGAGCAGTTTTTTTGGGTGGAGACTACAAGATTTTCTATGTACACCATCATGTTATCTGCAAACAGTGACAGTATTGCTTCCTCCTTTCCAATTTGGATGCCTTTTACTTCATTTTCTTGTCTGATTGCTGTGGCTAGAACTTCCAATACTATATTGAATAAGAGTAGTAAAAGCAGACAGACACCCTTGTCTTGTTCCTGATCTTAAGGATCAGGAAGTTTTTGCCCATTGAGTATGTATGGTGTTGGAAGTAGGTTTTTTGTATATGGCCTTTATTATGTTGTGATATGCTCCTTCATTCCCACTTTGCTGGGTATTTTTATCATAAGTGGGTGCTAGAGTTTATCAAATGAGTTTTCAGCATTTATTGATATGACCATGTGATTTTTGTCTTTCATTTTGTTTCTGTGGTGTACTATGTTTAATGATTTGTGACTATTGTACCATCCTTGCATCCCTGGGATGAATCCCACTTGATCATGATATATGATCTTTTTAACATATTGCTGGATCTGGATTGCCAATATTTTGTTGAGGATTTTAGCATCTATGTTCATCAGAGAGAATGGCCTGTGTTTTTCTTTCTTTGTTGTGTCTTTACCTGGTTTTGGAATTTAATACTAGCCTTATAAAAACAGTTTGGGAGCCTTTCCTCTTCTTGAATTTTTGTGGAGTATTTTAAGAAGGGTAGGAGTCAGTTCTTCTTTGAATGTTTGGTAAAATTCACCAGTGAAGCCATCCAGTCCAGGGCTTTTGTGTGCCAGGAGTTTTTGATGGCTGCTTTGTTTTCTCAAGTTCTTATCGGTCTATTCAGGCTTTCTGCTTTTTCTCTGCTGCTTCTTTGGAAGATTCTATGTTCCTTAAAATTTATCCATTTCTCCCAGGTTGTCCAATTTCTTGGCATAATTGTTTGTAGCAATTCCTTATAATCCTTTGTATTTCTGGGGTATCAGTTGTAATCTCTCCTCTTTCATTTCTGATTTTATTTATTTTGGTCCTCTCTCCTTTTTTCTTGATGAGTCTGATTAAAGGTTTGTCTATTTCATTTTTTGCAACGAACCAGCTCTTAGATTCATTGATTCTTTGAATTTGTTGTTTCTATGTTATGTAATTATGCTCTGATCTTGATTATTTTCTTCCTTCTGCTCACTCTGGCCTTTTTGTTGTTGTTGTTTCTCTAGTTCTTACAGGTGTAGGGTTAAGTTGTTTATTTGAGATTTTTCTATTTTCTTTAGGTAGGCCTGTATTGCTATGAACTTCCCCTTTCAGGACTGCCTTTGCTGTCCCATATTTTGCTCTTTCCCATATTTTGCTCTTCCTTGGGGTGAAATGCTCTGTAAATACCAATTAAGTCCATTTGATCTAGAGTGTCATTCCGTGCCATGTTGATCCTTTGTTTGGAAGATCTGTCCATTGTTGACAACGGGGTGTTAAAATCCCTTCTTAAGATGAGTATGTTGCTGCTGATCTCTTTCTTAAAGATTTTCCTTGTGCATTTATGTGCTCCTATGTTGGATAGCATATATGTTTACAAGGGTTATATCCTCTTGTTGGACCACTCCTTTAAGTAGTATGAAGTATCCTTTGTCTCTGTGTTACACCCTTTGTTTTGAAGTCTACTTTGTCTGATATAAGTATTGCCACCCTGGCTTTTTTTTTCCATGTCTGTTTGCTTGTAATGTTTTTCTACCCTTTCACTTTCAGCCTGTGTAGACCTTTTTTCTGAGGTGGGTATTTTGTAGGCAGTATATATGTGGGTCATGTTTTCTCATCCATTTAGCTACCCTATGTCTTTTGAGTGGAGTGCTTAATCCTTTTACATTTGAGGTTATTATTGATAGCATTTATACACTGCCATTTTTCCTTTGTACCTCTATTCCTCTCTCTCTCTCTCTTTATCATCTTAAAGCAGTCCCAGAAATATTGAACACTTCATGAATTTGCGTGTCATCCTGTGCAGGAGCCATGCTAATCTCTATATTGTTCCAATGTTAGTATATGTGCTGCCAAAGTGAACACTCAGCTTTTACATTAGAGACTATTTCTTAATGGTTTTAAATACGCTTGAATTTTAAAATTCAAGCCACATTAAATGGTTTTAAGTAAAAAGTGAAAGTTTCCTACCCAAACCCATACATCTAGGACCTCACTCCAGGAATAACCATTCTTAAGCAGTTTTTGTTCTGCTGGAAGGAGAATTGTCTAGTGTCAAGGTCAAACAGACCCCTGTGTCCTGTTCCAGTTTGCTTCATATTTAAACCACACTTTTCTTGAGTGGTTTTGTTTTTCCTGGAGTCTTAATGGACTTTCCCCGCTTTGTTTAAAAAAAAAAAACAAAAAAACATATGACTTTTCCATCACATCACTAAGATCTTCCTGCTCTTAATTGTCCTATTTTGAACTAAAATCACTCCCTTCTTGAAGTCCTTCTTTAGATTCTTCTGACTTCCTGTTCCAATTTGGCTAATCATGTTCTGGGCTCACCACACCACTGTAACCACTTATTTCTTTAAACATACTCCTCTTGGGCTAGGTCCAGAAAGCACGCATGTCTTCTAACTCTTAATTCCCTTTATGCTTTTCTGCAGTTCATCTACAAGTAATGCTTTTTAGAAAGTGTACAGCATGTAAATTTATTGAGCATTTGAAGATCTGTAGGTCTTTATTTCACATATTTAATCAATAATTTGGCCAGCTATAAAATTTTATGTTCAAGATAGCTTTCTTCTGAATTCTAAAGGCATTGTTCCATTCTTTTCTAGATCCTTGCCATTCAAAGTGTGGTTCAGAAACAGCAGCCTCCCTGAACCTGAAGGTGAACAAGATGCCCAAGGACATACGGGTGAGTTCCAGTTGAGAAGTGCTGTGCCAGCCTTCATTGCAGTTGCTCAGAGGGCTGAGGTTAACCAGACCCTCTCTTCTCAGTCTAAAGTCTAGGGAACCTCTGTTTGCACTTACTTGGTGATCTTTTAGGCTCTGACCTTTTCCAGTGGCTCCTGTCAATTCCAGACTTGTTCCTTTCTTCAGAACCAGCAAATGTTCTTTTTATTTCTCTGCTTTTGTCTGCCTCTCTGCCGTATCTGTCCCCCGTCCCTAGGTTGATCATGTCTCCTAGCCTTTTTCTTTTATTTCTCTTCACTTGGTTTTTCTGACCTTCATTCTGAGAAGTTTCCTCAAATGTATCCTTTAGCTCTTACATTGGATTTTGTGAATATTTCATTTAATTTACTATAGTACTGTTCTCTGCACTATGGTTACTATGACTTAATGAACTATGGTTCTCTGAATGCTCATTTTTCATAGCAGGCTATTCCTGTTTAATGACTAAAATATCTCGCATCTCTAGGGACACTAATTAGTTTTAGTTTCTTAGTTGTGTTTCCTCCAGCACCAGTAGTTCTGTTTGTTTGTCTTTCTCCTTCTTTTCCATGTTGTTGATTTTCTTTAAGTGTCTGATCATTCTCATTAAATATAATAGAACCACTATTCATTTCCTTAAGCATGATGGTGGCATTGTATGTACATAAGAAAATGTCCTTATAGACAATGAATGTTGCAGTTTTTAGGGATGTGTCTGACATCCACAATTTACTTTAAATGGTTACACACACTCAGAGAGAAAGAGATAGAGAGAGAGAATAAAGGACATTTAAAAAGAGTGAAGGGTAAGGGGGGACTCCAAAAAACAGAATTTATTTATAAAAAATTGTATATTTGTTCTTACATGTATGAACTTTAGTCACCTTCAAAGTACTCTCCATCCGATGTAATATCAAGATGTTTTCCCATTGCTCATAACAGTTTTTGAAGTTGTCAATTTTGATACCTTTTAGTGCTTCTGCCATTTTTTGTTTCACCTCTTCCATGTCAGCAAAATGTTTCCCTTTGAGGACTTTTTTCATCCAGGGAAACAAACAAACAAACAAACAAAAACGCCGCTTGGGGTGAGATCAGGTGAAATACAGGGGTCATGCCGGTTTTGGTCAAAATCCGCTGAACACTCAGCGGGGCATGGGTAGGTGTGCTTGTAAATTACCCATCATGAAATGGGCAAACATGTTGAAAGACTTTAAAAAAAATTCACTGAAGCAAAATGCAGCCTCTCACAACACCACCAGCTGATATACTGATACAGACGAGTTCCTAGTGGGGGAAGCCTGTACTATAAGGGGCCCGTCCTTTACAAGATAATTCCGGTGTTTGGGAGGGTCCCCCTTGTACTAACATTTAGAGGTAGAGAATATTCTCAAGTGTTATTGTACTAGACTTTCCATTTTTCTTTTGAAATTTCTGTTTGAAAATTTTCATAGTAAAAGCTGGAAATAAAAAAGAACAAAACAAAAATCTCCAAATATCCTGGGGAAAATATGTCTGGGGCCTGAAATCCCCAAGGAATCAGCTTTCTTGTAGGAAACCAGGTAGGCACACGGTCTTCAAGCAGCTTAGGCCAGAGGCCATGTGCATCCGTGCTCACTTGCGGTGCTTGCAGAGTGATGAACAATGCATGCACAAAGTCGGGTTGATATTCTGCAGGAAATCTGCCCAAGTGGACTGGGAAGGCTCCTATCCTAGTGAATCTCTAATGAAGTAAAAGAAAGTGAAAATGGGATTTCATGGATGTGGGTAGTAATTGGATTTGGCGGAGGATATGATTAAATTCCACCAAGCCCCAGGAAAATAATGACAGGGTCAGAGACCTCCCGACTTGCCGAAAGGGAACCAGGTGAAGCCTGCAGAGACTCTAAAGCACGTGCCTGCTCTGCCCACAACTCTCCAGCCGTGGAACGGCAGACACAGCACCTTCGCAATGTCTACAGTCTCACCTTCAGGCAGAGGGCTGGACGGCTGGAGTTACTACGGAACGCTGTGGAACTCACCGATCAGTTTCTGTGCCCTGGTCTCTTGAAATTTCTATCTCTACTTCAGAAAGCGGGATCACAGCAGAGTCCAGTCCAGAGAAGAGGAGCCTCCTCAGTACGGGCAGACTCCAACACTCAAGCGAAAGGCCAGCTGACCAGTGCAGGCACCAGCACCACCTTCCCCACCATCTTGTGGGTGCTGGGCAGGGGCAGCCTGAAAGCTCTGGGGACAAAGGCAGTCATGTGAACTGACAGGTTTCCTGTTACCGGGTGTTGACAATGGGCAGGCAGAAGGGCTGACACCCCCCACCCTCGCACAAAGCTAATGTACTCAGAGGTCTTGGGTTCCCACTTAGTGTCCCCCCCCCCCCCCCCCCGGGTGGTTTCCAGAGCTGGTCAAGTGGTCTGATGTGGGAGGCCGGCCATCCTGCTGATAGGCAGCTTCACAGAAATGCCTGCTTCCTGCCCAGGTCCCTCTCCTGCTCTTAATCCCTGTGACTCAGCGTCTTTCCAGAGATATCCACAAGAAACAACTCCCATCTCAGCCGTGTCCGCCGACTTGATCCAATACATCCATGCCATTAACTTTCCATTCCCCAGGAATCCCTCAGACTCCTGGTCCCCTGACGGCCCCCCTCCCACCACCATCAGTGCCCCTGAGCGCTGCTCCCTTCTGTTCTTTCTTCCAGTTATTTCACAGGATTTTGAAGAGGGAGCAGCAGCACTGTGTTCACACCATCACCCTGAACCGCAAGTCCTCCCCTGGTTTCTAGTCTTCCTCTTTACGCTGCAGCGTCCAAGTATCTTCCTTCTCATTCTTGATGCCTTGCAGATGCCTCACCACCCCTCCACCACCTTTCATCTTCCCTCTTCTTAACAGTAAGTCAGGAAAGGAATCTGTCTGGTCTTACGACATCATTGCAGAAAAGAGTTAACCCAGCAGGCCTGAGCCTGCTGTTCTCAGAAAGGCCTGCATGCAAAGCTGGTCCTGGAAGGCATCCGAGAACTTAGACATGGGAAGGTTCCCAGCATTCCCTGACCGATCAGTGTGGTTCCTGTGCCTAAACTGTGGGCACACCATGGTTCATGTTACCACCTGTTTTCCTTCTGAAAGTGGAACTTTGATACATGAGAGGGAGAAGGTGCCCAATGAAAGCCATCATGCTGGGTCTCTGGTGAGTGTCCCTGGTAAACAAGACCTCACCTGGGCTGTCACCAGCCAGTGCTACAGAAAGGAGCTTGTCCTGTGTGACTCCAGTAGGAGGAGCATACCCGCTCCCAGTTGACTTCAGACTTTACCCCTTTGTCTTTTCCCATTGACGAGTTTGTGTTTTTGCTACAATAAATCATAACCAGAATTACAACTTGATGCTGGGTCCTGTGAGTCCTCCAGAGAACTGTCAAGCCGGGACCCCTGACACACACCACATTGATTATAAAATGTGTTTCCTATTCTTGGTAAGCTTCCATTGTGGCTTGAGGTATTGTACTATTAGTCCAGCACATGTTGAAAAGATGTCTGTCAGGGAAAATGGCCAAAAAGGTCTATACAACCTGGTTTTAGGGGCTTTGGTGACCTCCTTTCTGGCAGACTGTGAAACTGGACCATCCCTGGCTTCCGTCCTCAGCCTGGGCCCCGAAGCCATGTGTGGGTTCTCACTGCACCGCACATGGGCTCTACCTGCCCCTCTGTGTTGGCACGTGTCCCCAAGCAGATGGCCCAGTGTCCCTGCACGACTGCCCTCCACAGTCAGAGTCCTGCACTTGCACTGTCCCTGCTCCATCCACAGAACAAACAGCAAGCAGTCCCTGTTTCTCCGCATACCTCCACTTCGGTCCACGGAAATTGTGACCGCTCCCTCACCTAAGTTACACAGACTTTCCGTGGTGCCCACAGAGAGAGCTTGCAATTAAGGCTCCAAATCACATTTCAAGGTGAGATGATGTTGAGCCGCATGCTTGCAAAATACACACCCTAAGAGGAAGCTGTTGAAAAACCTCACACACTTGGATCACCAGCCAAGAGGGAAATGCGAATTAGTGCAACATCTAAATTATTGAATATTCTTAACCAGTGTTTTTAAGTAGCAGGGAGACAAAAGACAAGGCAGTTTTTAATTTACCCAAATTAAACAGCTTCTTAAATAATTCCCCCCAAAT